CTATATTAAAAATTTATATATATGATCTGTGTGACAAATCATGTGACTGATAGCTAAGTTGCTGAGTTTTCAGAATATATCCACCTATTTTATAAAACATTTATCAATTTTCTTAATAATTGTAGCAGATTATAATAAAATCTAGATTAAAATAAAATAATAATATAAAATCTCAAAAAAATAAAATTTTTTAGAATGCATTTTTTAGGAATAGTAGTTTTAAAGTAAAGTTATAATAAACAAGTATAAGTAGGTTTTAGAAGGTTAACATATTAAATAAAAAATATAAATTTCATTTTAAATTATGATCTATGATAATAATTATTAAGATTGCTTCAAAAATCAAATAAAATTATTATATCTAATCAAGATAATAATGATTATGATGTCTTATCTGAAGAAAAAAATTTATAGATACTGATAAAACTAGTAAACTTTTTGATGAATAGTAGTGAAATTAGTAAAACTACAGTGTGAGAATCCTTAAATCAACATATAAAATACATAATCTTTAAAAGTTTATAAATTAAAAACCAAAATAGATATCAATTAAATCTCTTTATAGAATAATAAAATCGAACCTAAAGAACAAAACTATAAGCTTAGTTTTTTGAGTTAATTAAAATTTAATCAAATTATATTGATCAATTTTATTAATAAAATTAAAATTTTGGTCAGTCACGTAATCTAAAAATAAAGCCTTCTATTAGCCAAAATGCGTGAAAAAACTGTATAGAAGTTTAATATGATTGGTTAGCTGATTATAAGAAAATATTGGTTAGATAAATGAACCTTATCTCTATTGTTATGCAAAGCCTATTATAGTTTATGCATTATCATATTATCAAATCTGTAATAATGCATTAAATATGTAATCATAGTGTAGGCGTTATATAAATTGAACAGTAAATTAGAAATTTATTTCTCAAAAATAAATAAACTATTTTGGAAAGAGTTATAAATATGAAAGAATAATACATATAGAGATGTTATAAAAGGTGTTATTTGTATATACCAGGTTAAAGAAAGACACAGAATAAAACATAGTATTGTATATAGTTATGGGCAAGATTAATAAATATGAAAAGTCAAAACTAGAACTTACGTAAGTAAAAGCCTATTTTTAATACATTTAAAATCTAATGAAAATGAATTAAAAAATAGGGTGGGTGAATAGGGAAAAAAAGTAACCAAATATATGAAATTAATTGAAATAAGCCAACTTAACTACACTTTCTTAGAATAGCACAATATAAACATTTAAAATTAGCAGGTTAATACCACCAAAGCCTTGATGAAAAAATCATTTTTATTGTATGATTTTTGATAGAAAAAAATCTAGTGTATTTAATTTATCAAATGCATAAAGATTGATTCACATATTGTTTGACACTCATAAATAGTTTGCATAAAAGTGATGTAATGAAAACATTGTATAAAAGTGTAATAAATCTATTAAAATAGGTTGGAGATCTTTTCTTTAAATTTCAAAATTGTGAAGGGCATATTTTGTCTCATGGTTTAATATCAGAAGGATATACAATAAAAAAAAAAAGAAAAAAAAAAAAAGATAAATAAAATATAAACAAAATAATCAATTTAATCAAAAATAAGAAAAGTACTTACATGAAAGCTAGTATTTAGAACCTAATTGGCTTCACTCATAATTACTAAAAATGACACGATAATTTAAAAGAAAGGTTCATTTACAAAAGTTTAGAATACAAAAAAAATGAAAAACTGGCACCAGGTAAAAGCTTCAAGAACCTATAGTAGCAGCGATGAACCTAGTAATATTGAGGGTGACAATGTAGAAATAAGTGTTTTAGGAGATGAAGAAGCGAATAGCATAATTACAAAACTGTTGCAAGCAGTTCCAGAAGTAACTAATAATTAGCCACTTGTATACATTAGAAATTCGGAAAGAACAAGAAGGTGACAAAAACAATTATCATGACAAGCTGCAGTTGGAACACCTAAGTTAGAGTTATTTTGGTTACTGATAGCTATTTTTTTGTCATTTATTGATAATATAGTTAGTGGATTGTGTTTTAATTTATGGAATTATTTTTTTTTGAATAAAGAGTAGATATACATATGAGTGATAGTGTAGATATGAATGATGAACCAATTGGTTTAGATAGTAACTCTGAAAATGATTTTGAGGTTGAGGCTATAAAAGACTATAATATAATATCTTCTGAAATCTTGAACAATACAATTGAACAATTGAAAGAAGAAATCAAAAGTGATAAATATAGTAAGGTTGAGAAGGCTCGCCTCTATACAATGCTGTCTTATTTACTTCTTGTGAAATATGGCTGACAAAGAGTTGAAGCAAGCATCATTATAGCAGAAGCAACTGAAAAAGATGCTTATCATGCCTGATGTATACATTTATGGACAATAAAATTATATTTTAAATAAAACAATTCTAATTTCAAGACAGGGCAAACACTCCAAAATCTGGAGTTTCTTATAGGACAATGACATTTTAATACAGATTAAATTCTTTCTCTGATCAAACAAGTAGTGTATTAATGCAAATGAATTGGCAAAATATGTAAATGAGAAAATACTCTAGGCTTTTATTTTGATCCATCACTAATAATATGTGTAAAAACAGCTAGAAAGTGGCTAAAAACATTTGGGTTCAAATATTCAGAGATTAGAAAAAGGATGTATATGAATGGACACAAGCATGCAGATGTAATAGCTTATCATGAAAAATTTTAGAAAAAATAGAGGAATATGAAATGTATATGATAATTTTCTCTGGTGAAAATATAGAAGAGGAAATTAAACCAGCTACTCATGATATTATAATTTTAGTAACATATGATGAGTATATTTTCTCAGCATATAATGGAAGGTGTTGGTTATAGATACTGAAAGGAGAGCAGCTACTTTGCAAAAAAAGGCCAAGGAAGGTTAGTTTATATAAGTGAATTTCTTACTGATGTTGGTGGACATTTAATATTATATGAAAAAAACAAGATATATATAGGATTTTAAACTTTATTTCAATTTACTTTTTTTTTATAATTAAAGAACCCTAATTAAATTTTTTTTAAGATCAATTTTCCTAATCTCTCACCAGAAGCATGTGTTATAACTTATCTGGATAAAGATGGTGATAAGTGGTAGAACTCAGATGATATTGTAGACAAGGTAATTAACTGTGCAATCCTAATTTTTGAAGCTTAGTTTCTAGGCACAAAAGCCCTTTTTGTATTTGATAATGCACCAGTCATTGTGTATATACTGAAGATACTCTTTTGGCAAAAAATATAAATTTATCTCCTGGTAGCAAACAGCCCAAAATGAGGTTTGTATATTTATACAGTATATATATAGATTGTGTTTTGACCTTTATATATTTTTTTTGATTTTTTTCTAGTATAAATTGAACGATACTTTAAATTTTTTATATATTTAATATTTTCAAATATTTAGAAACACCATATATGGAAATAATATTCATCAAGATATATGTTTTTCTGAGGATTATAAAGATCCTAAATTGCATGATAAACCAAAAGATTTGAAGAAAGTTTTGTATAAAAGAGGATTGTGGTGTGATAGAATGAAGTTGATATGTAAAGGAGGATATAAGCAAGAAAGAACTAATTGCTGCACTAGAACTACAATGGCGAATTAACTAAATTTTATAGCACAATGTGAAAAACTTGAGGAGGCAATTATTGCTGCAGGCTATAAAGTTATTTTTTATCTAAAATTCTATTGTAAATTAAATTATCTTGAAAACTTTTGTGGTTCAGCAAAGCAATATACATGAAACCACTATGACTATATCTGGAAAGGTTTGAAGAGAACAGTACCAAAAGCCCTTGAATTAGTATCTCTTACTGATATTAGATGATATGCTCAGAAGGCTTTTAGATATATAGATGTGTATCGCAAAAGTTTAACAAAAAAAACTGCAGAATATGCTGTGAAAAAATATCGATCTTATCACCATATTTCAAATATAGTTTTAAATGAAATTGGTATAACAAACAATTAACAAATAGGCAAAAATTTTTATAATGAGTTTTGTTGTATTTTATTTTTTGCCCTTTAATAAATTAAATTATTATATTTATCTTATGTAAGTGTCAATTAAATATCAATTAGAATTGGTGTTAAATAAGATAAAAATAAGACTGGGCTTCCTCTTTCCTCTTCTATAACCAATAGTAGCTAGTCTTAAATTAGTTTATAAATAGAAAATTAAGAGGTGATTTGCTACACTTAGATGGTTATACAAGATATAATAGATAGTTTAAAATTAATATCATCTTGATACAAATCTGTAATTAATCTTATCATGTATACAGCAAATTCAAAATAAAAAAAAAAAAAAAGATAAAAATAAGATATTTATTTATTGTCACAGATTATAATAAAATTAAATTAAAATAAAATTTGATGTTTTCTAAAATTTACTTATACAAAATTTCATTTTAATTTGATTTTATTTTAACCTGCCACATTTATTGTCAAATAGTTTTGAGTTTTAATGAATATATTTAGCTAAAAAAAAAGGATGTGTAAAATTAGTATTTACAATGTTTGTATTGTTCATCAAAATCAAGTTATATTAATCTTAAATTGTTATAATACATGGGGGTACTAAATAATTTGAATCAAACTTATAATTGTTAGCAGTTTTTATAATATTAACAATCAGTTTATTAAGAGTAGAGTAAACGTAGATCATTTTTAATAGTAATCACATTGCAAATCATATGATATCATATAATTTACATTGATTTGACCAATCAGAATTGTAAATAATAGAAATCCGACCAATAAGAATTAGTAATTTTTGTATTATCTAGGCAAATTTCAATTGATCTAGGAGAATTTAACGATATATAGAGGTAGGTTTTTTTTAAATAATATAAGGACCAAAACTTTTATTATCATAAAGAAAAGAGTTTAATCTATATATTATGAAGTTTTGGTAAAGTTTAGTTGAGGCCTTAAAAACTTTTACTAATAGCATATGCTCAATTTTTGTATAAAAAATTTTTAGCACATGAGATCATATGACAAATGATCTATGTTCACTCTACCCTTAAAGAATAATAGAATCGAATTATTCTTTGTTTAATCCAAACCTCTGAATATGATCAAATATGAGTTTTATATTTTTATTACAATGCGATTAAGATTTCTTGAAGCAAAGTGTAAAATTTGCTGATTATTACAAGAATTCCTTTAAATAATGATTTTCTGGTATTTATAATTATAAAGTTATTTTTTTAAATATTATAAGTGCTACCAAGGGAAAAAAGTGTCTCTGTTTTTAATCAATTATTGATTTACTTAGCAGCACTTATATTATATAGAGTTGATTTACAAAAATAAATAAGAAAAATTAAAAATAATAATTGTATATGCCTTTAACCAAGATTTAAATCATTAGTATTATAATGCTTTCAAGAACAACAACAAGAAATATGTAATGCACAAAAAAAGTTTATCCTCCAAATAGACAGAAGCGTAGCAAAGTTTCTAGGATTAGAAGACCCAGAAATTATATCAGTTTTGCACATAGCACTAGATAACTATAGATTAGCTTTTCAAAAATTCTTAAGAGGAGACAGATTAAATACTGAAGAACAAGACTTAATTGGTTTAGATCCAAAAACCAAAACAATTGACTTGGAAAGACATGCTAAAAAAAGACTTCAAGAAGAAAGAAAATTTAAGCTATTGGAACTCAAGACAGAAAAAAGAAAAATCTTGCTAGTTCTACTAATGCTAGTTAGAATGGTAGTAGAGGAACCTATGACTCAATTAATCATCCACAAAGTAATACAAAAAAGAAAGTACACGGTTATAGAAGAGACCAAGGAATTAAACAAACAAAAACCAGAATCTAAACAACAAGATAATAATATAGATAAAATTGCAAAAACAATTCTAAATGAGTCAGAAATAGAGATCTTAGAAAGCTCAGACGATGAAAAGCTAGAGGACGAAATTATTCTATTATATACAGAATGTGGAATGCATGATGAGGGCACCAAGAAAACAAAAGACCTTGTACTGTTAAGACTTGATAAAAGAACGATAGAAGCTCCATCTAAAAAAGAGAAGAAAAAGAAATATAATATTATACTGGAAGATATACATGGATCTGGATGGGCACCCAAGGATATTAATAAATTAATCTGAGTACCTGAAAATAGAATCAAGGAAAAATCTTCTAAAGGGAAAGCATCTAAAAATCTGGCTAGAGATGAAGAAAAAATATCTAAAAAAGAAGCATCCAGAAATCTGGAGAAGAAAGAAACAATTCAAAGCCTAAAACCAGAATATAATATAACTTTGTGGGATCTACCAGTAAATACATGGGCTAGTAAAGTAAGAAGAAGCCTTAATTTTTATGGTAAAGCAAAGGTTATTGAATGAAGGAATCACAACATAAGACTAAGAAATCTAAAGCGGCCTATGTTCAAATTACTTGTTGGAATCAAGAAAGATTTAAAGCACTCCAAGAAAGTTGGACAGTACACTTTGAAGAAGGGAATATATGTCGTCTAACTTCTGGCTATTTTGACAAAACTGAGCTAGGTGATAGAAGAAAATGGGTAGCAAGATTACAAGATCTGCCTCCCAATACGCTTGAGTCCTCACTTCTCTGACAACTCAGGCCAAGTAAGGCCAAGGCAGTTTATATTTCTAACAACAGTAATGGTAATAAAAGAAGTATTGCGCTGGTGTATTTTAAGAATGAAGACGATTACCTGAAGGCACAAGAAAAACAAATTTATTACTACAACAAGAAACTTGCATGGATAGACAACAAGAAAGGAAAGAGGAAGAAACCTACATATGCCGAGGTTTTAAACAGAAATATAGATAGAGAAAACACACCAAGTATTATTAACTTGGGTAGAGAAGAAGGCAGCCAAGTGAAAAACAAAGGAAAACAAGTTATGCCTTATACTGAAAAGGAGAATATTAAAAAACTAGCTGAGAAGGTATCATGGAGAAACCCAGAGGAAGAGAGGCAATTCCTTAACAAATACAAGTTTCTTCAGTCAGAAGAAAAGAAGAAGGATAAGGTTTTAAATCTGAAAAACAGAATAGATCAGCAACAATCAATCCTTCAGGAAATACTTAATAGATTAGACAATTTGAGCAATAAGCAGGTTTTACCTGCTAATCGCTCCTAAAGGTGCTTCAGTTAAAATAAGAGAAATAATGGTGGAGGAGAACCCCTTTCCAATATCAAATTGTTTCTTAAGTTCTTAGCCAATGCACGATTTCTCCAAAACCCGTTATATAATTAACAAAGGAAAGAGAAAAGAGAAAGTAATACAAATAGAAATAGATGAAACAAATTGTAATAGGCAGATAGAAATCATTAA